AAATAGAATCAGTCTCTTTCCTACAACAATAAATATTTCTGTCTGTTAGGTTACTAGGTATGAGTCAGGCTGAGTAACAAATTAGATGCAACAGTATGAATAGGGTATAGCAGGGATTGTTCTGGACAATCATATTAGATCCTTTGATGTGCTGAGTAAATTATCTAAGTCAGCTCCTCCACCTCTACTTGGTACATGTTTTGTTCACTCAAGTGGCGGTATACTAAAAAAGTATTTGTGTGTGTTTTGACATCTTAACAGGAATTATTTCCAGTTCTCTGTTATTCAAATGGTACCATGTAAAATAATAAAACCAAAGATGAGCAAGCCATTTAAAAATCATCTGTATGTATCAAATGATTAAGTAGCTACAATCTTATATGTTTTTTTCAACTTCATCATATAAAATTTCTACCTTCTTTTCATCTATAGTATAGTCTATGACTTCTAAGTTTGCTCTAAACCCAGGATATGAGAAATTCCTGGATGGTTTGACAGCCTTGGGCAAAGCTAGAGGTATTTCAGGAGAATCAGACTAAGGTGGTACACAGAACCAGGATGGGCTGGTGCTGGGGCAGACGGGTGGTTTCTCTAAGCCAACTTGCAGAGCCAACCAGATATCACAAACTACATTTTCTACTTCTGATTTGACATTTACAACTTTGGCCTAAATCAGTCTATAAAGAACAATAATATACATGGAATCTACCTTCATGAGTTTATAGTCAAACATAGAAATAATATGAGTATCAATAATGATGTGATCAAAAGACTGCCAAAGTTATCATGGGAACACCAAATATGTACAACAATTTATATTGTAGCCACAATGCCCCACACAGAGTTTTCATAGCCTTTACAAAGTCTTATAAGTTGTACTATTACTTCTCTCCATTTTATAGGGAGAAATTCTTCACAAAGAATTTGTCTAAATCTGGAATAAAACAGGATTTAGATGCACATCTGGAATGTACACTCTTGACCACTGTTTGTACTATTTATTTCATTACTAACAGTGTTTTTGTGATCTAATTTCATGGTGTTCTTTGTAAGTGCAGCACTGAAAAGAAAACAAAAAAGGACTTTCTGCAGCAGGATAGCACCACGCCTGAATTCCAGATGGAGAGAATTCCATGAACAGCAAGATGAAGGTACAAAGAAGTAAAGATTATTCTGAGAACCTCAAAGTTCCAGTTCAACAGCAGGAGTCAAATAATGGAGTGATTTTTGTGCTTTATCTTAGAAGGCTGAAGTTTGTTCTGTAGTTCCTAAAGTCTACTTTTAGTATGGCAGGTAGGTGATTCCATTTCACTTTTTTTTTTTTTTTAAAGATTTATTTATTTGTACATACAGAACTGGGGTATAGGCCAG